TGAGGACAAGTATAATACTTTATTCTTGTTTTGAATTCTTAGATCCTAATTCACTGCCTGACATTTGTTAGACATTCTGTAAATATATATTTAATGAATGGAAATAAATGTGGGGATACATTATGATTACATTCAGTAATTTATATTTATCTTTCCTAAGTTTTTCTTAATGATTTAAGTTTGCATTTTAAATTAGTTTAAAATTACTTAAAACTTACTTTCAAGTAAATCTATCAAATATATCTGTAATTTTCACTCCCTAATTTGCTATGTTTGACATTGATTCTACCTTATACTCTAAAACATTTATACTTACAGATTGATAGCCCCCCAATGGCAACCATTTTTTTTGTAGATTTGGACACACTCTGTCCCTGGTGAATCCTCTCACCCCCTGCATCTCTGGCCTGTACCCCAGCTCTTGTATGCATAAATAAATAAATCTTTAAAAAAATGTACTAAAGGAAATATATGACACAGCACCTGCTGTCAGGGCTATCTAAAGTCATGACAGTAATATATAACAATCAGTACAATTGTACTAAGCTCTACTGTGTTCAGACAACTGCCAGATGGTAGAGGTATTCCAGCATGATGATGAAACATCAGATTCTGCCACCAGACCCCCTGGGTTTGAATTCTCCATTGAACATGGACTTGTTGTGTGACCTCTCTGTGCTTTTGTTTCTCATCTGAAATATGGGTATAATAATGTTATCCCCCTCATAGGATCATCGTGTATGTTAAGTGAACAAATCATTGAAGTGTATGTGCACATATAACTAAAATGAATGTTTACTAAGTATACTTTGTCATTTAATCCACATGGCAATTCTTATATTACTACTCTTCCCTTTGTATAGTTCAAGGAATAGAAGCTTATTCCGTGGTGACACAGCTCAAAAACAAGAGAGCAGGAACCTTTGCCTTCTGTCTAACTGAAAACAAGAGAAGCTCAATGTGGGGCAAGTAGTGGCGGGCAACATCGTGGCAATGTCTGAGGTTATTTTTGGTTTTCACAATTGAAGTGGGGTAACTGTTATTAGCATCTAGTAGATAGAAGTAAATCATGCTGTTGAACATCCCACAGTCTACAGGACACTCCCCTACAACAAAGAATTTTCTGGCCCAAAATGTTAATAGTGCTGCAAAGTAAATTACTGTATACCAGTTAAAATTGCATTTCATTTTTTAAGTGTTTATTTATTTATGCATACAAGAGCTGGGGTACAGGCTAGAGGTGTGGGGGGTGAGAGGATTCACCAGAGGTGTGGGGGGTAAGAGGATTCACCAGAGACAAAGTGGGGAACAGAATAGGCAGACTGACCGAAGTACACTGCTGAGGGGAGCAGCGGGCTAGTCAGGAGAGGTTTGCTGCACCATGTGGGTTGCTCCCTGGCGGGCCAGGGATCAAACTCATGCTGCTAACCCCTTACACCACCAGGGAGGCCCTTCATTTCATTTTAACAGTACACAACATTTTGCTATAAACAAATCCCAAATGATTATATAAACATGCCCCATGTAATAGTTAGGACATATTCAACTGGGAGTCGTGTCTTTATTTGCTAAATCTTGCTAGCAAGAATGTCATCATCTCTTCACAAAAACTTTCCAAACACAGCTTTGTCATTTGGGAGTGACATCCAAAGATCAAGCTCAAGTTTGTCAAAGAAAAAGCAGTTTTATTACTTGTGACAAGTAAGGAACCAGGGAGATAGATCTCTAAAGGCTGTCTTCTTGAGTAGGGGATCAAAAGCATTTTTAAAAGAGAAACAGAAGTATAAGAAGTATTTTGTGTCTCGGTGCTGTAATACTGGGGGCTACTAGTGTGTCTGCAAAGACGGAGGAGGCAGAACACACTTTAATATATGTGGTGTCGTAACAGTATAAGTTCCCTGCCCCACCCTAGGGAAGAATGGAGCTAAGCAGGAAGATGAAGGTAGGAATTGTAACAGGGTGAAACTAAAAAAGGGACTCGGGGGGAAAAAGAGCAGCAGCAGAAGTGGAGAGAGCTAGAAGAATACTGGAGGAGGCACATGGAGCAGAAATTCGTGTGAAGAAGAAATTGCACTTGCTTCTTGGCTTTGGATTTGTACCAGGGACTTGGGAGACATGGAAAGAGATGCTTAAAAGAAAAAGACATGGTTGAGAGACCCGTAGGGAGGCTGACAATGGCAGCCTTTACTTATGGGTCCCCACCAGAAGGTAGCTTAGGCTTGTGGCAAGTTTTTGGGCCTCAGTGGTCCAGGCCAACCTTGATTGACTGTGCATTTGCCCATGAGGGAATGGGTAACATTGTGCCCTTGATTTGGAAGCTATATTCTTTCTCTTGTCTCTGTTGCCTACTAATTATTGTGTACCAATTGTATTAAAGTTCTTTTGTATCGAAGGTCTTATGCACTAGATTATGCTTTGTCTTGATTTGGTAGATGGCAGGACTCATTTAGAAGCAGGCAGGTTTGGGGGCCCCCGTTACCCCTCATTCTGCGCATTAACAGTGTATTCAGAAAATGGTGGTTTAGTGCCTCTCTGGGCAGAGATTTCTGCATACTAATGAGGCTTTTAGCATCCTCAGTTCTTTCAGGATTGACCCCACATTCTCCGGCTCCTTCTTTCTTTATTGGAATGCCCAGGCCAGATAGAGGCAATAGGAACCTGGTCGGCAAGATAAGCTGAGAAACTGTTTAGAGTAACAACTTATTCCCTATATTGCATTTCCCTGTTCTTGGGGTCCTGGTATGATAACAAAATTCCATGAATTAATGGTACATGAAGGGTTTTGTATGACTTTCATGGGTTCAAATTCTCTACAAATTTTGAAAGGGCCAGTGCATTTCAAGTGAGGAACTTTTATTGTGGATCACATAATAGGAAAAGTGTGGAAAGTGCCTTTTTAAAAAAAAAAAAAAGATTTATTTTATTTATACAAGGCCTTGGCTATAGGCCAGAGGTGCGGGAGGGTGAGAGAATTCACCAGAGATTGAGCAGGGAGCAGAACAGGCAGACAACTGAAAGCACTGCTGAGGGGATCAGTGGGCACGACAGGAGAGGTCTGCTGCACCATGTGGGTATCTCCCTGGCTGGCTGGGAATTGAATCCGTGCTGCAGAGGATGCGGACAACTTCACAGCACTGTGCACAATCCGCTGCACTACCGAGGAGGCCCTGGAAAAGTGCTTTTAACCACTCCCAGGGACCTGAGAGTAGGGAAGAAGGAGGGTCATGATTTTATGGGGTCAACAGGTGGGGAAGCTGCCAGTTGCATCCTTGAGTCTTTTAGGATACTTTGGGGTATGTGCAGGGTAGTCATACATTGTGTGTCTCATTAGCATCCACCCAGGGCTGTGTGTCTTAGCACGCTAATGAGAATTAGGTCACTTCTAGGTAAAGTCTTTTTCCATCTTCATCTGCATGACAGTCAGGATTCAACTTGTTTAGAACCATTGCTCAAAAGCAGGAAACCTCTGTAGGGTGGAAGTTCTATTTCTCCTGGTGATTGGCTGAATTCCTGTTAGTCTGGAGGCTCAATAACAGGAAGGTGAGGCAAGCAAAGTCGAGGTCCAAGTGGTCTGCTCCTATTTAGAGTGAGGCAAATGCAACTCAGATGGGTTCAGTTATTTGTCCATGTCACAGAGCTAGAAAGTAGAAAAACTAGGGTTAGAATACAGAAATCTTATAATTTATTGATCAATGACATTTTCTTATTCTCTATCAGCATGAGCTTGTTAACTAAGAAATTTTGCATGTAAAACATGGGCTGTATTAAAGAAAAGCTGGTGACTAATAACAAACAGTTATTAGACTACACATCTTGTTACAAGCGCTCTTTGGAAATATGAAACATTTCTGTCTACAGAAGAAACTCTAATAGACATTTCTAGTCATTTGAAGTACTGGGAACCAGACTTGTGAAATATCTCATCTTTAGTCCTTTTCCTAATTGTTTTGATGTTATCTGTAAAATACAGGCTGGAGGAAAGGAAAAATATTATTTTAAATGTGTGAGGTGACACTATGGAATTTACTTCCTCAAATAAGTAGAACATCTGTTACTAGTGATGAGCAGCAGAATCTGTTTCATGGGACCCTATATGACACATCAAACCTTTGATGCATATGATATATCAAAATGAAGATTGGGTAGAAAAAGTCATTGGAGTCTTTCTTCTTCTGAGGAAAAATGAATCCTCTGGAAGAGGCTTTAGTTTGGATGGGGTTGGGAGCAGAAATAACTTGTGCAGATGTTACTTGCCATCAACTTTTTCTCTTTGTGGTAGTTTGCCAGTAGCTGACCAGCCAGGGCTGGGAGGAGTTGAATATAGGCTGGGAAGCTTACAATACACTTGATTGATTTAAGTTTAGAAGTTGCCATGATCCAAGTTGCCAGCTTTGAGATATAATTGAAATATAACCTTGTATAAGTTTAAGATGTAAATGTCATGATTTTATATAATATATATGGTACTTACTATGTACATAAATAGATATAATATCACAATATTCTGTGAGAATAAATCCTGAGATGTAAAATCAGGGTCTCATTAAAAATAAGGAAAGGAGTCTGCCAGGTGGCGCAAGGGGTTAAGATGCAGCACTATGAAGCTATCCACAGCCACTGAAGCACAAGTTCAATCCCTGGTCACGGAGTTACCCACATGGCTCAGCAGACCTCTCCTGACTTGCCTGCTGCTCCCCTCAGCAGTGTATTTCGGTCAATCTGCCTTTTCTGTTCCCCACTTTCTCTCTGGTGAATCCTCGCATCTCCCACATGTCTGGCCTGTACTCCAGTTCTTGTAGGCATAAATAAATAAGTCTTTAAAAAATAAAAACAAGAAAAGCTTCACTCATCCATACCTGCATATACAAGCATCCACAGGTGCAGTGCAGCACCTGTGTCTGGACATGTGACCATGCCCCGCCCATGAGGAATACCATGAACACTCTCAGCATTGGTTACTTAGTTGTCCTGTGCTTCACAAGAGGAGAGCCACAAAGGTCATGGCTGGTAAGTTTGTTTGTTTGTTTGTTTGATCAAGTTGTGTTTTTAGGAGAGAGATCTGAGATACATTGACTCAAAGTGTTGTTGTTCACTGAATTTTGTATAGTTTGGTGAGTAGTATTTAGAGAATAAAGGAAGGAAACTTATTCCTTGATGCCAGGCTATGAGGTATGGGGACTGGTAAGCCAGCTACTCAGCTAAGTTTTCCTTCCATTTCAGAGAAAAAAAGTAAATGCTGGGAAGGTCTGTAACCTCATTTACTGAGGTTGTTTTGTGGATCTTACTTAAATGTCAAATGTCCAAACATGACTGAAGTTTAAATCTGTAAGACAGACTCACCACACGCTGTTGTCCTTAAGTAAGAGAAATTGAAATAACAAGAATGTGACCATTAAGTCTGTGGAAGTTAGAGCTAATAATCACAAAAGCAATAGCTCAGGCTAGGTTCCTTGGGTCCTGCCATTCACCAAAGCAGAATACATCACAGAGAACAGTCTGGGTAAGTATAGTTTTGTTTTGACTCAGATGGATTGGGATTCTTGGAATGGGTGTGCGTTAGCTAAGAAAGACTGGGGGGAATGTTGGATCCACTGCTTGGGACACTTAACCAATTAAGAGAAAACATATAGAGAAAAAAGAGAGTTCTGGCTAATGAGGTGATAGAGTGTGGTAACTTAAGGTGTTTGTAAAGTTCTACTATTTTTCTGCTTCTAACAGATAAGAGACTAATGGGAAAAAGGCAAATATTTGTTAAGTCAGTATCTGAAGATACCCTTAATGACTTGTTGGATGTTATATCAAGTGAGAAGATACTGAATCCAGAGGAGATAGAAATAGTGAAAAAGAGAAATCTTACTACTATAGCTAAGGCACATTGCTTGGCTGACTGTGATTCAGAAGGGGTCCCCTGCCAGCCAAACACTGATTGACTGCATCTGCAAGAGTGACTCCACCCTTGCTGACAAGCTGGGATTTTCTTCAATTAAGAGTCCTCAGTTCTGCATGAGGGATGTCTGCACTTGCTTTTCAATCTATACCCCCAATGTTTTCTTTCTTACTCACTTTGCAGATAAAAGATGATTCATTCGCTGTTGACATCTACTCACCCTGAAGCTCCCATGCACATAACACATACCACACACACACATCATGCTGAACTTCTCTCCCTGCTCTCCTTTGCTTTATCCTAGTAACATACTCTTCAGGTTTTCTGCTCCAGGTCTTGACCATGTATTTCTCTGTTTAAAGTAGTTTTATATTAGAGGAGAATAATTTAGTTCTGCAGCAATAATCTAAAAGACTGTATTCTACCCTCTCCGGGTAAATAAATAAAGACCTTGACTTTGCTCATTGACAGTAGGTGCTTAAGGTTCATGAAGGGTCTACAAGAAAAACTGGAATAACATTTGTCTCCCCCTCCTTTTCTATTTGCTTGATTTAGATATATTTTTAAGCTATTTGTCTGGCAACATGTTTCTACTCCCCAAAATATGTAGCGCAAGCTTTAATAAATATAGAACCAACACTGTGCATTCTGTGTAAACAAAACACCATTTTTTCCTACATTTTTTTACAAATAGAAATCTTAGGGATGCTTCTGACAGACTTCACTGTGCCAAATCCAACTGTTTTTGTTTCATGAAAGATACTAAATACTAATGGCAATGGTCAGGGTAACAGGGTATAAAACATAGTGCATAATATAATCACTTTCTCTAAGTTTGTGCTCCCATTATCCTGACACAAAAGCTGCCACTCCAGTAGTTTTTTGTTTTGTTTGCTTTATTTAATTTTATATTGGACTCTGTTTTTAATTGAGGCAACAGTGGTTTACAGTGCTGTGTACGATTTAGAGGCACCGGATCACACCCTTCAGGTATGTGTTACCTCACCCCACCTACCACCAAGGCCCCCATAGCCTCCACCATAATGCACTATGTCCTCCACTCACTTTGCTCTGCCCCCACCCCCGGTCAGATTTCTACAGTCATATTTCTAGGGTTTGTTACTATTTTGGTTTTATCTGATCCTTTCATTTGTTTCTCTATATTTCTCCATATTTCACATATATGTTACTCTCCTGTATTTGTCTTTCTCCTTCTGACTTACTTCACCTAGCATCATCCCTTCCAACTTCAGCCATATTGTTATAAATGGCAAGATTTTATCTTTGTCTTATAACTGAGTAGTATTCCATTGTGTAAGTATATTATCTTAATCCACTCATCTGTTGATAGGCATTTGGTTTATAGTAAATAAAACCAACGGGCCCCCTTCCCTTAAGTTCCTTTTCCTTTTCTGGAGGCTCATTTGGGAGTTTGAGGGATCAAACCCTCAAATTTTTGTAAGCAGAAGACTAGATAGGGGAGAAATGATCATCTGCAGTCTTCAGCCTGAACCTTTCCTCTTGGCATTTCCCAACACACTTGCTCCAGAAGATTTACCCCACTCTGAACTCTGGGTCTTCAGGAAGGACACCTCCCCTGCCCAGCACCACAGAGGCCAAATGCTTCCCTGTCACCCAAGCCACTCCACAGTTATGTGGGGAAAGAAAAACAACAAATCGAATCATTCCTTGTTGCCATTGGCTGAGTTCTTATGTTCCAGTAATTGAGGTATAATCACCAACATACCAGACTGACAGTTAGCAAGCTCAGGTTCATTGCAAGAAAGACTCCTGATGGCAGGAGCGGGTCCAAGGGAGGAGGTCTCTACTGTTGGAGGTAGGCTTTTATAATGACTCCTGGAAATCAAGAACTAAAGAACCAGAGGTTTAAATCGGTTTATATTGAGAAAGATAAAATAAAAATCACTTCTCCCAATTATTCTCAGGAACTAGCCAGTCCTTATGAGCTGAGGTACATCAGCAGAGCCTTATTCACTTCCTCCCATTCTTCACCAAGGAATCGCATACATGTGCTGCTACATTTTGGGTAATTCTGATAGTCAGATAACTTTCTGCAAATTGAAGCTGTTTCTCTTGCCTGACTGTAATTCATCTCTGTTAATATTGGACAGAAGTACAACTCCACAAGCTAAGATGTCGACTTACAAAGTTTTCTTCCACGTTCCAAAATAATGAGAGTCTTCTGTGATGGTTTCTTGATTGATACATGGCCTAGGGCCCAGTGAGAGAGCAGATTACCAGATACCACAACTCTATGTTAAATAATTTGAAACTCTTGTAGAAACTCTTGCAACAGGGGCAGCAGCCACAGAACACACAGGCAAGCTCAAGCTTTGTCCCCATGAAGACTTCCTGGAACTATGCAGAAAAAAGGCTGGAAATGTGAGTTCATCAATGAATGGAATGGAGGGTAAAATTAAAGTAGAAAGGTTACCTAGATATAAAATTTCCAGAGGTGCTGAAAGAGAGAATGTATTATTTAATGAATCTTTAGGCATTATAAGGGTTACAAAATAATTATGGGTAGATATTTCCATTCTGTTAGGAAAGTTGGATATGCAATAGTGAAATAATACAGCAACCCATTATGTATAGATGCTGAATATATAAAGAGATGCTACAAAAATCAATGCTCCTATAATGAGCATCAAGGTTGAGTTATAGTCAATGTAGATTGAAGTACATGGAGAATGTCTCTAATGTTAAAATATGAATAGAATCTTGAATATTAGATATTGCTTGGCTAAACAGAAGGAAGAAAGAGAGAAAATATTCTAATCCAGTTCATAAAACATTCTTGTTCATCACTCTGGGGGTTTGCTTTTTTATTCATATCCTGGATTTGAGATCATTCCCCATTCCTTCTGCTTCCTTTCAGAAGTCCTCCTATAATCCATTAGTAGAAGAGAGTAAAGAAACAGTTCTAGCAAAAGTGAGAAGACAAGAAAATGCTATTATATCCTTGACAGTGCAACTCTGACCACACTGAATATGTGGGAAAAAAAAAAAAAAAAGTGCCCCTAAGCTGTCTTTCTTCTGCAGATTTATCCAATACGAGAGAAAGGGAACCGCACTCGCCTGGCTCTCATCATTTGTAACACAGAGTTTAAAAATCTTCCCAGACGCACTGGATCCAACCATGACATCACTGGGATGAAGGGTCTGCTTGAAGACCTGGGCTACAATGTCCAAGTGGAAGAGAATCTCACAGCCAGGGTAAGAATGCCCCTGCCAGCCTCCTGCACCTCCCTACGTAGGTCAAATGACTCATCAGCTTTGTACTTAGAGCAATTTATTTCATTTCTCTAGACCCACCTATACACCTTTTGAGCAATGTTATGCAAACATATACATATATACACGTATGCTTGTGTGCATTCACACATATGTATTATGAAATGTGATAGTTACTTTTTCTTGGAGTTCGTTTCCTTCCTTGTTGAGGTAACACTTGTTTACAACACTGTACATGATTTAAGGGAACAGATTCACACCTCCTTAAATATATGTCCCCAAACCACACCACCATCAAAGCACCCAGAGTCCTTTATCCTGGGCCATTTAACCTACTGCTTCTTTTGTTCCCACCCCATCCCAAGTGTCACGCCTAGCAGCCCCAATTCTGGAGTCATATTTGTAGGTTTTTGTTTTGGTTTAGTTTGGCCTGTTCCTTTGATTTTTTTTTCTCTCTTTGAAAGTGATCAGGTATTTTTCTTTGTTCTTATTTCACTGAGCATTATCCGCTGTTGGTTCCATCGATGATTCTGCAAATGGCAAGAATTTATCTTTTATAATAGCTGAGTAGTACTTTTTTATTTTTTATTTTTATTTTTTTAAGATTTATTTATTTATTTATACAAGCACTGGGTACAGTCAGAAGCACGGGAGGGTGAGAGAATTCAGCAGAGCCAGAGCGGAACAGGCAGACCAACGAAATACACTGCTGAGGGGAGCAGTGGGTGCGCCAGGAGAGGTCTGTCACACCATGTGGGACCCTTGCCAGTGGCCGAGGATCGAACCGGTGCTGCAGAGTCTGTGGGCCGCTTCGCAGCCCAGCACTCAACCACTACACCACCAGAGGAGGCCCAGAGTAGTATTTTTTAAAAAGATTTATTTATTTATAAAAGAACCGGCCTACAGGTCAGATGTGCAGGAGGGTGAGAGGATCCACCAGAGATAGAGCAGGGAACAGAACAGGCAGACTGACTGAAGTACACTGCTGAGGGGAGCAGCAGGCGAGAAAGGAGAGGTCTGCTGTGCCATGTGGCCATGTGGGATTCATAGCGGCTGGATGGGATCGAACCCGCACTACAGAGGCTGCAAACAGCCTCTGCAGTACGGCGCTCAACCACCTGCGCCACCAGGGAGGCACTGTAGTATTCTATTGTGTATACATCCCACATCTTGTCAATGGGCATTTAACTTGTTCCCATATCTTGGCTATTGTAAATAGCATAGTGCTGCAATGAACAGCACTGATATCAATTCACGAATTTGTATTCTTCAGTTAGATATCTAGGAATAGACCTACTGGATCAGATGGTGGTCTATTTTTAGTATTTTGATAAATCTCCATACTGTTTTCCACAGTAGCTGGATAAATCTACATTCCTTCCAACAGTGTATGAGTGTTCCTTTTTCTCCACACCCTGGCAATACTTGTTGTTGCTGGGTTTTTGATATGGGCCATTTTCACAGGTGTTAGGTGGCATCTCATCATCATTTTGATTTGCATTTCTCTGATAATAAGTGACGTTGAATATTTTTTCATGTACCTATTGACCCTCTCTATATCTTCTTTGGAAAACTGGTACTTGGCTCTTCTGCCCATTTTTTGACTGGGTTGTTTTCTTTCTGTTGAGCTGTGAGTTCTTTGTAGATCTTGGATATTAACCCCTTATTGTATGATGTGCAAATATTTCCTCCTATTCAGTAGGGTATTTCTGTGTTTCAATGATTGTTTCTTTCACTGCACAGAAGCTTCTTAGTTTGATATAGTTCCATTTGTGTAGCTTTTAAGGGTGACAGAGATGTACATTCTCTGCTTCTGCAGAGCTTCTCTAACTTTAGGGGCACTTGCCTCACCTGGGGATCTTGTTAAAAGTGAAAGTTCTGATTTAGGAAGTAGGAAACGAGACTCTAAATTTCTCGAAGCTTCTGGGTGATTCAGTAACTGCTTTCTCACTTGAGAGTAAGGATCTAAATTAAATATACGTCATGTTATTGGTTTGATTTGGTGGATGTGATCATACGTGCTGTGACTGCTAAGTGAACTGCTAGTTAAATTTTACATGTAAGAGTTCCTGGGTGTCTGTGAACATGCTGGCCAAAGGATAATCAGTCCCACTCCTATCCGAGAGATTGTCTGTCCAAATAGTGTCCCTCTGGCTCGCTGGGCTTTAAGAGTTGCAGCCTGTGCTGACCAGGCTTTGCAGTTGACTACGCCAGGGCCTGTCATGTCTGCTCCCCATACCAGGATCTACTGGGTCTGGGTTACTGCTGGAATCTGCTCCAAAGCTTTAGGGATCTGTTGGGGCCTAATGGGTTAGGTCTGCCTCATGTTCCCATCCTGGAGCTCACTGAGTTCTACTGGAGCTTTCAGGGTCACAGACTCCTTCCACAACCTTCCTGGGGTTCACTGAGTTCTGTGGGTGGCCTTCTGCCAGAGGAGCTTCTTCCTGGACCTTCCCTGGAGGAGCTTGCTGAAGTTTGCCAAGGGCTACTGCTTGTGCAGCTGCCTCCAGGACTAGCCCTGGTGTTCCCACAGGTCTGTGGCCAGGTCAGCAGGAGAGTACTATGGCAGGTCTGCTTCCAACTCAGTCCTGGGCCTCGCTGAGATCTGCTGAGGGTTACTGTGTAAGGGCCTTGCAAGCTCCACTCTGCAGCTTACAGGGCCCACTGGGCTGATGGGGCTCACCTCACCTATCAGGAGGAGCTACCTGCTTAGCCCTTTTCATTACTGTTAAGCCCCCACTTCTCATGTTACCTTCAGTGAGTGCTGTAATTTGTTTTTCTTTTAGAAGGTACTGGCTTTACATTGCTACAATCTAGCTGTGGGTACTAGCATACCTGAGCCCAGGGTCTCCACTCTATTTACATCTTGCCCCAACCATACAGTTATTTTTGAAGTGGAAACTGCTGCCTTTGTTTTACTTAGGAAAACACACACACAAACACATACACATACACGCACACACACCTCTCCCCACACACTGTTCCAAAATGTGGTGATATGGTGAGGGCTGGGGTAGAGGATCACCCAGAGTGCACTGTAGTAACAGGGAACACAGCCACTGACAGAACTGTGGCAACACTGGGGTATGAGAGGGTGAAGGAGTAGAGTATCCTAAATCCATCCTTCCACTGCTCTCTGATCCCTTTGATCTCCTGCTAGTGCTTCCTCTTGACCAAACACAATTTGAAGCTTGTTGACCAAAGTGCCCAATGAGTCTGATTCATAGAACCACAGAAGAGCAGAGCATGTGTCTGGGGATCCCAAGTGAAAAATAGCCAGCACCACAGAGTGAAGTCAGTGAAGAAGGAGTAGAGAACACTAGGACTCCATCTCTCTCTCCACCTGGAGAACAACTGTCTGACCAGAAAAAGTCTGAAGTGACTATTTTAGAACTCGGGGGTTTATTTGAATACTCCCAATATTATTTGAATACTCCCAGAGAAGAGCTGGCTGGTAAATTGTAGTTAATTTCAGTTAATTTCAATCTGCATGTTGTGCTGGCTACCCAATCCCCACCCTCATTCCATGGCAGGCAGCTGTGGGAGCAGCAGTCTGCACTTATGGTGCCACTTAAGGATGCAAAGTGGGCAATAAGCAACTTGTCCTCCCAATGTCAGGGTGCCTTGTTCTGGCTGGGGAGCCCTGCTGGATAGCTGTGGACATAGGAGCTGCATGCCATGTTTCAGTCCCCACCTACTGAAGTAGCTTCCAAGATACACAAAGGACCTGCATCTGTGTTGCTGGAGTGTGTGTGTGTGTGTGTGTGTTATCATTCAGAACGACTTCAAATACAGGACATTCAAGAAGCCACAATTTATGCTCAAGCTCAAATAGTGCCTGAGATTACCTTAAACTTTCACTGCAGGCTGAGCTCTGGCACAGAGATGCACTAAAACAATAACCACAATCCTTGGGGTAAAGAGAGAATCTAAGATCAAACTCAAATATCCAGTTTTTTACAAAAATTTCATAAAGCACAGAAGAAACAGTATGAACCATTCAGAGGAATAAAATAAATGAAAGAAACCATCCCTGAGGAAATCCAGAGGGACAACCTTAGACAAAAGTCTTAAAGATTCTCAGAAACTAAAGGAAGACATGGGCAAACACAAGAATAAGATAGATGAGCAACATGAGGACAGCCACAGAGTGAGAGAGAGAATGAAAAAAGAACCATCAAGAAATTCTGGTGATAGGTCAGTAGGATAGAAGAGAGAAAATCAAGGAAACCAAACTTAGTTCTTTGAAAAGATCAACAAATATGACACATCTTTACTTAAACAACACAACAAAGAAAAACAGAATATACTAACAACCAATACCAGAAATGCAAGTGGAGTCATTTTAAGTCCTTACAGAGATTTAAAAAAATGATTGTAATAGAATACTTTAAACAACTACATGCCAACAAATTGGATAACTTAGATGAAATGGATGGATCCTTATAAACATTCTTAGAAACATAATATGACTATGTGATGAAGTTAAAAATATATAGACTAGAGGGCGGAGCAACATGGCGGCGAGGAGACGCTGCGAGTAAGATCTCCCATTAAAAAAAGTTAATAGGGAGGAAAAGCGGCAGGTCCCAGTGAGAACTGGGACAAGGAAGATAAACGGACAACTCCAGCAAACTACCCGAAGAAGAAAGTTGCCATAAAAGAGGACTAGAAGGGAGGAAAGCGCAGAACCCTGCTCCCCTACCCCACCCACAAAGTCCGCACTCTCCGACCAGCAGAGAGGGGGAAAACAACAAACTAAAACGACCAACAAGAACGAACTACGCATCAGGCGGGACTGTGAGTGGAAAGGAACTATTTCAGCCACCACACCCCGTGAACTGGAGCTGTGGAGAACCCTGCAGGATTCGCCCCGGAGGTGAGCGAACGGCTCCGGGTGCCATTAGAGAACAAAGAGACTCTGGAGACGTGCACATAGCCCCAGGCCGGCCGGTAAGATTGTGCGGAAAAGCAGCGCGCTT